TGTTCGTCTACTATTATACTAGCCTTAGTTATTTTTTATATATATATATATATATATATATATATATATATATATATATTAATTATTATTACTAAAATTTAAAATATTAAATATTTTGTGTTACATAATTATAAATAGTTATCAATAAATAATATTTATAATTGTAAAAAAATTAATTTTAAATAAGCTTCACAACTTTAATAAATTTATTATTATTATTATTATTATTCAATATGTTATTAATATAAACTAATTTGTAAGTATTCTTGAATGTTAACTGAATCTCACGAATAAATAGTGAATAAACACTCTTTTAAAATATTAATAATACTTTAATTATTGATAAACTATAAAATATTACAAAACATATTAGATGAGTGAATCAACTTGGTAGTCCTAAGTTCGATTCTTATTTATGTTAAAATAATATTTGGTCAATAAAAATTACGTCCCACAAATATAAATTAATTATTCATTATCAATTTTAGAACACAACATAAATTATGTCCATGAAAAAAAAAATTAATGAAAGAACTTTTATTATGGATGGAAAAGCTTTAGACATAAGCCGATTAATTAAGATAATTTTGGTAAGTGGATTAGATTAATTATAATTGTCACCTCCTAGATCCCAATTAATAACATTCTTTTGTTTTTACTAGTGAATTTCTTGGCTGGGTCTTTTCCTTTTTGCTTTTTACTTCTGGCTTTTTATTTTTGGGTTGAAGAAAAGCAAAGAGGGGAAATTTTGTTTGTGTTGTTTTTTTTTCTTGGTATAAAGTTAAGGCCCCAAAATTTTTTTGTGGGAAGGTTGAGGCTAGTTTAACCAACCCGCTCATTACACTGTTGGGCTTTGATTGAAAAATTGAGACACGTCCATATCTTGGGTCCAGAAAGCTTATATCATTACATCAGTGTTGAAAGACATTCACGTTCAACAACTCTTTATTTATTTTATTTTTTATACATATTGATATATAGTTTGTCAAGCAACTCATAATCTATAGAGTTAATCACCTATACACTGTCAGTGTAAAGTATTTTTATACTGGCAACCAATTATATCTTTTAATTGTGTCATGTCACTGTAAACATATTTACTTTTAACAGTGACATGACACAATTAAAAAATATAATTAGTTGTCAGTGTAAAAAATTTTACGCTAGTAGTACATAGGTGATTAAATCTAATCTATATTGTCCTGCTTACATTTCTTAAAACTTTTCATGCAAAGCATTGTTCTTGTTATCTCTTCAAAACTATTATTAAAAGTATTATATGGTTATGAATAAAAAAATCAATGTTAAGATTTATTTATTTTTATTTGTCTAAAGTTAAACTAATATTATAATCATTAATAATAATAAAATGTTAGTTCAAGTGATTCCTCATTTATATTTTTTAACTAAGGATTTGGTTTGATCTTTGGCTTAGACATATAACCTCAACTAAAAATATCACTTTTTAGGTGTATTGTGATGGTTTGGCATATTAAGCATTGAATGTAATAATACTATGTATTAATTTTTTGCATGATATATTATTCTGTTAACATAGACCCACAATCATAGTTTAGAAGCTGAATTAGATTAGCCAATAGGCCCAATACAACAAGAAAACTGATCTCGTGTCAAATTCAAATAAATCACATAATCCACTTTGGGAAAAAAAAAGTCAGTAAAAAATTGTAAATTTTGTTAAAATTTGGTTAAACCAACAAAAACTAGTTCACAATAGATTAACAGGTCAATAAAAATGTTTAATACAATGTTGTTTGATTTTTAAAAGGAAATATCAACTTAAGATATTTATCATTCTTTTTTTTTTATTTTGAATATATAAACTTTGTTAATATGGGCACTGCTGGATATTGTTGGAACTTTAAATTTAAACATTGTAATATATTTTATTTATATTTTTGTGAGTACTTCAAACATCATAAGAACTTACAAAATGATCTCATATTTCAACTTTTAATATTGCAAAATATAATATTATATTTTTTAAGTATATTATTTTAATTTTCACCACTAATTTGACCATCATTATATACTATTTAAATTAAAACAAATACTTTGACTTGTTTAATACCGCACCAATTTTTAAAACATCGATCACAATATCTAACTTGCATTTCATTACACAAAAAGTGAACTATATGAACGAAAAATTAATCCAATGCCAAACTTAACTATCAATGTGTCTCTTTTGTTTCCAATGAAGGAATCATTTAACTTAATTTATCATATCTTAAAAATTGAAACATTAATTGGAGCATTTATATATTTTAAGCTGAATATTTGTCCTCATGTATTACAGAATTCCTGCGTGATTATCCATATGCATGAAGCAGGAGTTCTTATAATAACTATCCCTAAACATGGAAGATTTGTCCCTTTTGTCCATTAAGATAAGGGCTAGCTGACAACACACAGATAAGTCAAGTGCATGTGTCTGGGTGTATGACTTTTTTTAATTAACTTATCTCTAACATTGTATGATTCTTTTATTATTAAAAAAATATCTGTACGATTTTGTTTAAGATTTTTTTTTTCTTTCTTTCTAGAATATGATAGACCACTTTTATTATTGGATGTGTCTTTTTCATTCATACAGCTTAAACATAGACTTTATTTAAAAATTAGTTGAGTGTTTATTTTGATATATTTGAAATTTTCAAATAATTTAATAAGAGTAAAAGTTAGAAATCGTTTATAAACACTCTCATTGTTTAATTTATATAAATATTTTTTCGAAGACTTGTGATGGCATAATAAACATAATATTTTGAATATAATAATTTTAATAATACTAGCAAATTTATAAACAAAATATTAATGGAGGTCGCTTTAATTTTAATTGAAGAAATTGTTTTAATAATAGTTTCAAAGTTTCATATCTCTTGAAAGTTAAAGATAATCATTGTTTATGAACATCTTTTTTATTTAACTCACTAAAATACTTGTTTAAGAATAGAATTACGACGATTTAATCTAATATCAAAATAAATAATACTTTAAATATAATAATTAACGATGTCAACAAATTTATCGTACATATTATTATAAACTTAAAAAATATATTGATTAATATTTTAATTTATATGTTGATTAACTAAAGAGTAAACGTATTATATTTATATTTTATTTTTAATAGCATAAAATATTTATTAATTTAATTGATAACTAATTTCTATCATAAATTTGACTAAATATTTGTAGTAAAATATTTATATATGCGTGTAGTTTTGAGGCAAGTTTAATATAAGACAAATATTTTGTAATTTAGTATCATATCCCACCTAATATTGTTTATTTATGAGTGATGAGGGTGAGACATGACTTGTGTTGGCTTTGGTGTGTTTGAGTGAGAATGGTAAACCTCCACCTAAGACCGATGAGGTTGAGTAATACCTAATCAATCACTATTCAGCATCCACATGGAGAGTACATTTCCGTACACAAAGCCACAGCAGCATGTAGTAAGCAATACGACATTAACTATATCATACCATTCTTTAATATTCTACTTCTCTTATTAAGGAAAACTATATATATAAAAAAAAATATTAGCAGAATTTTATATGATTAAGAAATTTCAAATGATTCTTACTCCTTAATACTTAACTTTTGTTTTCTAAAATATAAATTCTATTAAAAAGTTTAATTACATTTTTTTAATAAAATCGCTTAGAAAAATTATATTAATAGAAATTTTTCATTGAATACTATTAGCTTACAATTTTTTTTTTTATTTTTAAAAAAACAAAAGTTAAATAATTCACACCGTTATTTATTTATTTGTCTTAATTTTATTTATTTATTTCCATTTTCTTTCACCAATAACAGTTCATTTGTAAAATCATTTGTATTTACATGACATATACTGTGCAGTCAGACATTACTCTTTAAAAAAAATGGAGAGGATTTGGGGAATGCCTATGGGACGCCAACCACCATCACAGCCGCCGGATGAGGGTGATGGGGTCTAAAGATGAGCCAGACCATGACCTTCAAGGAGAAGGTACTGGGTGCCCCGGCTGTGAGGCCGGTCGTTCGCGATCTTATTAAGGAAGGGGCTATGACGTTGGATTTCGAGGGTGGAGATCGGTTGTTACCCAAGTTCAGCATCACAGCACCAACCCTGAAGCAGTTGTGTGAACCATGGGAACAGTGTCTAGTGATCAAGTTGCTAGGGAGAGATGTGGGGTTCCTAACCTTGCGGGACAGGCTACCTGCCTTGTGGAAGGTCCAAGGAGGCCTAGAGTTGTTGGACGTGTCACATGGCTACTTCATGGTGAAGTTTGACTTGGAAGCGGATAGAGAACGGGTCATGCACGGGGGTCCTTGGATGCTCTTTGATCACTACCTGATTGTTAGACCATGGTCCCCGGAGTTCGTAGCTTCAGCAACGAAGGTTGACAGTACTCTTGTCTGGGTCAGGTTTCCGGGGCTTGGAGTTATGTTTTATGATGAGAGTGTTCTCCTAACTATCGCTTCAGCCATAGGGAAGCCAGTTAAGGTGGATCTGAATACTCTCAACATGACACGGGGAAGGTTTGCATGAGTATGTGTCGAGATCAATCTAAATGAACCAGTCGTGGGAAGATTTTTCCTCAATGGTGTTTGGTATAACGTGGAGTATGAGGGATTACATCTGTTGTGTTCGTCGTGCGGCTGTTATGGGCACATTCTGCGGAACTGTCCACATGCAGCTAGGCTTGTGGCAAAGGCAAACAGCATGGGAGAGAAAGAGGTTGTGGAACAGCCGTCAGGGGAAGCAATGCACAGTGCAGATTCTGTGGCTCAATCAGGAAAGCAATCCACTCCGCGCGCAAGGGAGCTAATCACGCCAGATCCGCATAGGGATTGGTTGATCGTGAAACGGAAAACTCATAAAAACAATCTCGGCAAACCGTTGAGCAAGGGTAAATCTCCCTCTCATTATGGGACTGCGGAAAATACGGAGAAGAATCAGAACCTTCCGCGTTACCCTACGCGGGGATCCCATATGGAGGCCGAATCACGTGAGGTTTTTAAAAACCCACGTGCAGTCAAAGTGAGTCCACGTGAACGTGAACAGGGCCATGCACAACGTGCAGTGAACGTGAATTCTCGTGAAGGTGACCGCGAACGTGAAAGTGGTGTTGATATGGGCCATGTGATGCCCGTGAATCAACATGAAGTGGGTTCGCAAAGGAGACTAAAAAACGCAGCAGAGTGGAGGACATTGGGGCCCGCCCACGACCCAATCTAGATGGAGGTAGCATTGTAACGGATGGTATCATTCCTAAGGCCTGCAGTTCGCAAGATAATCCTACTCTGGGAGGCTCACGAGACATGCACGAAGGCCTCATGGGGAACCTGCATACGGGATTGGTCTCCATTGCGCCCCAACTAGGTGGCAAGACCTTGGTAATTCACGAGTCCGAGGATAGTGGGCGAGACATATTGGGGACGGAAGATGTGATGCAATATGATCAGCCATTGGAAGAGGAGGCCATGATGGTGTAAGTTTTGTTTTACCCTCATTATTTTGAGCGATTCTACCCATTATTTTGTGGGGTTAGATGTAACCAACTTAACTCTTATCTAATCTTCATTTTATTAATGATATATATGTTGTTTCATTCATTCTTGTGTTATGTTTCTATTCTTAATGCTTGCTTTGGATTGATCATCCTTTGCTTGATATAGAGTCCATTGGGTATTGAAAAATAGTCTTTTGAATTAGCTCTGAAACCTATCCTTAGTTCGGGTTATAGGTTGCAACTTGTCTACATAAAGCTAGAATTGCTAGTAATCACCAGTCAACCATACAACAATGAATTTGTTATCAGGCCTTGTACACACTACCTATCATCTTCTTTTTTCTCTCTCTCTTTATCCTCTTTCTTTCTCATATCTTGTTTTCTTTTTTCTCTCTCTTTGTCCCCTCTCTCTTCTTATGTTTTTTTTATCTCATATTTATTTTATTACTCTCATTTATTTTTTCTTCTTTTTTATCTCTATTTTTTTTCTATCTTTTTATTTATCAATATTTTTTGGTTACATTTTAATCTATCAATATTGATGTATAATTTATCAATATTTTTTTTGTCACATTTTAATCTATCAATATTGATGTATAATTTATCAATATTTATTTTTAATTATTAAATATTTTAAATTATTAAATATTATATATTGTTAAAATTCAACAAAAATTTATTTTCAATAAATTTTGATACTGAAATATCAAATTTTTAAACATATACTAAAAATATATTTTCAATAATTCTACAATATCATAAATTTGAATATATTGTTTAGATGCAGAAAAATATTCCTTAAGAAGACATGAAATCAAAATTAATTATTTATTAAAAGATTAAAAGATTTATTAATTTTTTCAAACATTGTCATTTATAATTTTTTTATTAATTATATTATTTTTAAAAATCCATATCATTCTTTGAAATCTAATAAAATTCTTTCAAAATCTTATAAATTTTTAATATACAAATCTATTCAAATTTATATTACAAAATTTTAATTAAAATTTTTTTTAAAAATCGTTACATTTCTATAAAATAAAAATAAAAATTCTTAAAAGTCATTGAATTTTTACAAAATCTTATAAAATTTGTAAAAAAAAATTATATTAAAAAATATTAATCTAATTCACTCCTAAATAATATTCGACTAATAAACATTACTAGTATATTTTATAAACTTGTGGATTTTAAAAAGCTGCGATCACAATATCCTATTATATTGACAACTTTCATGCAAAATAAAATATCTCTATTTTTTAGGTTATGGTTATTTCTTTCATAAAATAAAATAAATTACATGAAATTTTAAATATCTCATATTGATACATGACATTGTATTATTTATTTTTGTAGCTTTTTAAAGTCAAAGAAATTATGGATGATGTATTATATAAAGAATTGAAATTTATTATTGAAAAGTATGACATTATTCAATTTAATTATTTATTAATTCTGATATATGTTTTAGTTATGTTAATGTTAACTAAAAGTAATAGCAGAATGACATTTAATTTCTATCATAAATTGCAAGGAACATAAAAATCGTCATGAAGTGGAATCTTTATTTGGTATTCCTATTAAGAAAATTTTATGATAGTAAAACATCATATTGTGTAAAATTATTTATATAATTATATGCCAACAAATAAATTCATTCGATATATGAGTTATTTTAAATTATAAGATAATACATATATAGAAGCACGAAGTGCATTTGTCCCGTCCTGAGGCCTTCGGCTGGGAGACCCATTATCTCCGTATTTGTTCGTTTTTTGCATGCAGCGTCTATCCCTTAGGATATCTGAGTTGCTCTAGGAGGGTCTTTGGAAACCGATTCAGCTATCTCCTAGGGCGCTACCGCTTTCACACCTTTTCTTTGCTGATGACATCTTACTATTTTGTCAAGCTTCAGAGGACCAGGCTCGGTTGGTGGCACCTCTCTTTGAGGAATTTTGGCGGTCATCAGGCTTAAGAGTCAATTTGACTAAGTCCAAGTTTGTGAGCTCTAGAAGGGTTTCGTAGAGGAGGATTGATACGTTGGAAGGACTGCTAAGGATTAGCTATACGACTCGGATTGGGAAGTATCTGGGTGTTCCCATAACTCATGGTCAGCTGAGGTGCGCAGATTTCTATGATGTGATGGATAAGATTCAGGGTCGACTCGCGGCTTGGAAGGCCAAGCTCCTCAATAAGGCAGGAAATTTGTGTCTGGTGAAGTCTACCATCTCCTCTATTCCCGTTTATAGCATGCAATCATTGTGGCTCCCCCAAGCAGTGTGTAATATAATTGATCAGGCTTGCCGTCGTATGCTCTGGGCAAAGGCTGATAATACACGATTTTGGTCTCCAGTGAGTTGGGATGTTGTTACTCTATCTAAAGAGTTAGGTGGCCTAGGGGTTAGGGAGGCGCGCAGGGTGAATGTATCACTCCTTGGGAAGTTAGTTTGGGATCTGCTTTCGGACCCGCAGAAGCCTTGGGTTCAACTCCTCAGCAACCTCTATCTACATGGAGATTCTATCCTGTGTGCTCAAAATAAGCGGGGTGCTTCTCCAATCTGGTCGAGTATTATGAAGGCCCTTCCTTCACTCCGTGAGGGATTCTAGCCTCATCTAGGTTCGGGCGCCTCATCACTTTGGTACACGGATTGGTCAGGTAATGGGCTTTGGTGTGGGAAAGTCCCTTTTGTTCACATTGCGGACACCAACAAAACGGTTGCCGATTGCTGGATTAGTGGAGAATGGAGCTTCAATGCCTTGTATACGGTTCTTCTGACCGAGCTGATACACTCGGTCCAACAGTTGAGTGTTGTTAATTCCCCTTTGGGGTTAGATCACTTTGTGTGGGGGAGTGCTATCTTGGGTTGCTATACAGCGGCATCTGGATATCGTTTTCTAACCCCGAGGTTGGCAGTGGAGGGGGATGCAGTTTGGAAGAAGCTTTGGAGGATAAGGATCCCTGAGAAGGTTAAGTTCTTTCTGTGGCAATGCCTTCATTCAGCCCTCCCAACGAATCAGGTTCGGGCGGATAGGAGGTTGGCAGAGTCAAGTGCATGCTCGCGTTGCTCTTGCCCTCACGAGACCATTTTACACGCTCTTCGGGATTGCCCATATTTGCGAGAGGTGCTGATGTCTGGCGGGTGCAGTGTGGGGTGGTCCTTCTCTGTAATGGATTGTTTTCAGTGGCTAAAGGGGATTATCTTGCACAAGGATGCTATTACGCTATCCATCACCTTGTGGTGGGTTTGGCGCTTTAGGAATAACATGGTGTTTAATGATGAGCTCTGGCAAATCTCGGCGGTCCGTCGGAAGGTGATACTAACTATGGTGGAGAACAGTGCGTATAATGCTAAGAGGCGTTTATGGGTGGAGCAAGCTCTTTGGAGGCCTCCGGAGCACCCATGGGTCAAGCTAAACACGGACGGGAGTTGGTTGAGTGAGACTTCTGCTATGGGGATGGGTGGAGTAATTCGTGATTGGGCAGGTATGTGGCGGGGGGGCTTTTCGCGAGGCGCCTTACCTGGTGATGTGTTACGTGCTGAGTTGTTGGCTTTGGAGGAGGGCCTCTCGTTTTGTTGGGAAGGTGGGTTTCGGAAGGTGAGCTGCGAATGTGACTGCCTGGGAGCTGTTAAGTTGTTTCAAGATCGGCCAACGGATAGGGATTATTTGCACAAGCACTATGATGTTATTCGGCATGTTCAGCGATTGCTAGCTCGGGATTGGGTAGTTTACGTAAGTCATATTCCTCAAGAAATAAACTCAATAGCTCTTACGCTTGCTAGTTGGGGTGTAAGGAACCTAGGTTCCAATGTATTTTGGAGGAGTCCTCCAGATTTTGTTTTGTTTCCGTTAGGGCGAGACTCTATGTCTTGAGTTGTCTGCTTTGTTTTAGCTTTCCTACTTTACAAAAAAAAACATGACATATACTGTTTATGAATCATTATGATCAACCTAACCTAGTAATGAAATATTTAGAGTTTTTATTTGAATTCTATTATTGTTTTTAAAGTCTTACATATAATTTTTTTATAAA